TATTTGTATGTGTAAACAAAGCCTAGCAAAAGGAAATTCTGTCAGCACTATGGCAATCGATGTATTTGCTAAGATCCTAACCGGAAGGCAATGAGTGACCCTAACAACAATTACTATTCGGTTGAGGAAAAAGTCCTAGCGAAATTTCACTTTCCTTTCCAACACGTACTTTTATATATTATACACTGCGTTTCATAATTATAGGTCCACCCTAAATTTTTGCTATTCCAAAGTTGCTGTGCATTTTTGGAAAATGCCGCTATTACCAATAGTTTCCCCATAACGAAAAACCTTGATACTGATTTCTGGAGAAATCTCGATTCAGAATTATTAAAATATCTTTTAGAACGTATTTTCACCGTTTCGCAAATATGACTACACATCACTTGTCGAGAGATTTTATTATAACAAAAAAACGTCACAAATTTTCAATAATGGGATGGTCCTCCATAATCATAAGGAACACAATAATACGTTTTGGAATGCTGGTAACCAAATTAGCTATTACAGTAGGATCGAAATTTGTCTGTGCGCCGATGATCGACGTTTTCAGCTCTTCGGCTGTTCCATTTTGCTTTTCTTTGCTGTGGAACTTTATAACAATTAAGGCCCAATGATTCTCTATTGGAATCTGATTCAGATAACATGGTGGCCACCAGATAACTGCCACATTTTTTCCTGCAACTTCCATCTGGCGTGGAAGGACCGGCATGGACAGCCGCGTTATCGTGTGTAAAAATCAAGGATCGAGGGGATTGTTGTCGAAAAAATGGTAAAACTCGCTTCGAAAGAACTTCACGATACCCTATGGAATCCTGTGAAAGGAAACAAAAGCGAGCTCTAGCCGCTCAGTCGTTCAAAGATGCCTCAAACCATAAGGCCGACGTCATACTTTGCGATTCGCTTAGCGATTCGCTCGATTCGCTAGCGATTCGCAAAGTATGACGTCGGCCTAAGGGATTTCCGCCGAAATTACGTTACATTAAACCATCTGCGATTTTCACGGGATCCTCCTGTACCCTCTTTTTCTATCAGATCCACCTAGAATAAACTTTTTCACGTCGATCTCAGATCACCTGTAGCACCAAACAAGGAGGTA